AAACTAAGCTTCTTTTCTAAATTTTTTGCTGACTGCTTGCACAATTTGATTCGTGGTCTGTTGTGATACATCAAAATATGTGCAACCAAAGATGGTGGACGGCTTCATATTGCTGCCTGAAACTTAAGCTCTGATAATATTGCGATGGAATAGATGAACTTGTAGTAGGAATAATGTCAATTAAGTCCTCTCTGAGTATGGAGTTAGTCTAAACAGATTACAGCTCACGTCGATATATTGCGTACAAGATAACTCTTTGGTTACAAGTTGGGCGATGATCCTGTAGCACAAGGACTTTAGCACTCAGAAATGTATTAGGTTGACACTGGACTGAAGTGCATATTTGTCAAGTTGAGTTCTCCTTGTGCAGAAATTTTATTTCCGGTAAGGTCTAGGGATCCCTAGTCCAACCTCAAATGTACAAATATATTTATATTCAGTGATTGTACATTGCCATCTATATTTGCCCTTGATCTCTTCCCCTCACAGACATCAATGATCATTCATGAGACTTGATCTTTATATAGTTGGAATATTGAATTTTGCATCTGCTAGCATGCTTATTTCAATTGGGATCATGGCCTCTTCCCCATAAAAATGAAAAATGGAGTTTCTTAGGTGAAAAAGTAATCTGTGTGCTCATAGAATTTACACGTGCTTGTCAACTGCACTTCCCTTCATTTGCTCAGTTGATTTTTGGGATTGTGCTTGATGTTCTTGTTGACTGTCTCAACTTGATCATTTTTTTCATAGTGACCAATTTCTGAAGTGTAAAGTGGGTCTTAGACTCTAATGTTGGTCTCTCCATCCTTAAACGCATATTGCACACACGTAAATTTGCGTAGGCTTGTGTACATAGAATATTAGTTTATGAGGATACTACTTTGAAGTGGGAATCCTTATTTAAGAGGTGTTTTTATCCCATTTGGATTGATAATGGTGATAGATTCTTCTAGGAATTTTTATTTTATTTTATTATTATTTTTTTGACTTCATGGATTTTCTATTTGTTGTTATCTTAATAAAGGATTCTAACGTAGTCAGCAGTCTAGAGAAGCCTTATAGTTGATTTACCAGGTCCTCGTGGGTCGAACTAGCCACACGGACCTCTTTGGTTTGAGGTGATTGTTAGACCTCATTGTCATGTAAAGAGCTAGTGGGGAGGAAGAAGGAGGGAAGAAGGAAAGGAAGAGAAGGAAGGAGCCAACTAAACTTAAGTGAAACAAATGAATTGAAGACAGCGTCGTTTGTGTTAAATAGAAATGGTGCCGTTTTGTTTTAATTGAAATTGTATTTAGTTAGTTAAAAAAAATGCCTTTAGCATTTTGTGTGGAAAAATGCATTTTCTCTGTTTTGGAAATCTATAGATATAGAATGGGGGAAGATGAATTTAGTGTGTAATCTGATCATTTCATTGAAATTTGTTGAAATTGTTATGACTCATAAATAGAAGCACTACGTGGCACCATATTTCGGCGGTGGCACCCAATTGAATTAGGATGTGCTTTCCTGACCTCTGACGTGTCACCGAGGCCCTTATTCCGAGGCCATCGTTGTTAGCCTATGCCCCATTATTCGAGGCCATTGGTTAACCGAGGCCC